CCGGATTTTAAAAAAATGCCTTCAATTCTTGTCGCTAGAGTGTGCTAACGTCTAACTTAGCCTTATTTTTGTGATGTCTAACCCGGATTTTAAAAAATGCCTTCAATTCTTGTCGCTAGAGTGTGCTAACGTCTAACTTAGCCTTATTTTTGTGATGTCTAACCCGGATTTCCAGGCATATGTATTTACTGAACGCCAAATGTACACTAAAACAGATTTAATTTATACTTGATGTAACTGTAACTTTCTACTTTCTCCGCGGAGGCGCTAATATTGAGGTTTGTAAGCAATAATAAGTATTCAGCGTGTAAACGTTTTATTCACGTGATTAATCTCATCGGCCCCCAAGTGACACAGCGGTATGTCTGCGGACTTACAACGCTAGAAACCGGGTTTCGATACCCGTGGTGGGCAGAGCACAGATAGCCCTTGTGTAGCTTTGTGCATAATTAAAAACAAACAAACAAACAAATCTCATCGGAGTGGCCAAGTGGTAAGCGTGTCGGCAGTGAGAATCGAGGTTCATGGTTCGCGCCCTGTTCTTGTAAAAATTCCACCGGGTCATGCCAAGCCCTCAATTACTTGAACAACAGCGGTTTCGGTGTTACATAAGTTAAGTTGATAAACTGTTATTTTTATCATATTTACTTATGCAATTGCACATCAGAATTAGGTTCATATTTTTTATTAACATAAAATTACTTATTATTAATATTATTTATTTATTTATTTTAATTGAATTAATCTTTTACTTATAACTCAGAGGAACTGTTAATAAAACTAAAACTAATTAAAGAATGGAATATAATTTACGTACAAGATGCATAAAGAAAATAATTGTTTACTTCATGCACTGTTATTGATTTCCAGCTCCCTATATTGTTCCTATTTCTTCTCAGAGCCTTTAAACTTCGTATGAAAAGGGACTCATTGGTCTTTGCCCCGGACGTCTTAATCGAATCGTCCACCAGAGGGGTCATTGATTTCGATACTGACAGAGTTCTTACTGGATATTTAGAAGGTGAGCACTGAAACAGATTTTACTAATTTTCTGTCGAAAATAACTCTTTGATTAAAGATTTATTGTAACAAATATTTTTTTCAGAACTTAAACTAAAAATGTACTTTTTATTTTTAGCATCGATCTTTCAAATAAAAGTAGCTATTATGTTTTTTATATGAAAATAGGTTAATCATTGTCGGGTTTTTTTCTGTTAAAGTTTTACAGCAAGCAGAATTGTGAATTTTACGTAAACTAAAGGAAACTTGAATAAAGTTCTATTATTGGTTAGGTGCACTATAAGAGATAACTGTATTTTATGGTTGCTAAGAGACTTTGAAATTGACTTGGTCCGTACTATTTAAACTATTTAACTCTTGTAACTAAAAGAATCGGCAAAATTCAATTTACAATATTCATTGATCTCCGCCAGAAGCATACTTATTCAAGGTAAAACCATAGGATAGCTGACCCTTCTTTGAAAGTATTTGTTTAAGTTTAAAACCTTTCATTCCTCTCCCCACTCCAAGTGGCTCAGTGGTAAGTCAGCGGACTTATAACGCTAAACATTGGGGTTCGATAACCATGGTGGGCACAGCACAGATAGCCCATTGTGTAGCTTTGTGCTTAACAACAAACAAACAAAAATATTTTCACCCAATTATTTTAACCAAAAATACTTTTAAATTAACTAATGTGGACAATATTAATGATTATATGTCTTTAAAACGATTTGACGTACATTAATGAAACGAAACTACGAATGTTCACTTTAATGTAAATAGTATCACAGATCTGGAATCCTCTGAAACGTTGCAAGTAGAATATAGGGAGGAGAGCAAAAACAAAGATGCGTGGATCCTGAAAAGTCATTAGGCAGACAGGGAGGATAAATGTGTGAACCCTGATAAACCACTGATGAGGTAGGGAAGGGAAACGAAGGAGTCATGAAAAGCCATTAGACAGACAAAGAGGACAAATGTGTGAACCCTGATAAACCACTGATGAGGTAGGGAAGAAGGGTAACGAAGGAGTCATGAAAAGCCATTAGGCAGACAAAGAGGATAAATGTGTGAATCTTGATAAACCACTGATGAGGTAGGGAAGGGTAACGAAGAAGTCATGAAAAGCCATTAGACAGACAAAGAGGATAAATGTGTGAACCTTGATAAACCACTGATGAGGTAGGGAAGAAGGGTAACGAAGGAGTCATGAAAAGCCATTATGATAAACCGCTGATGAGATAATGAAGGGAAGTGTAGGATAAAGTCTAGGTAGGGAAGTGTAGGAGCCATGAAAAGCCATTTGTCAGACAAAGAGGATAAATGTGTGAATCTTGATAAACCACTGATGAGGTAGGGAAGGGAAACGTAGAAGTCATGCAAAGCCATTAGGCAGACAAAGAGGATAAATGTGTGAACCCTGATAAAGACAAGAAGTGGAAGAATTTCTAACCACAAGAGTGAAACATGGAAAAACAAAGATGTGTTTAGTTATTGATTTTGTTTTCGATAATTGACCCATCTGTGAAAAAAAGCCATAAGGATGTTTCATTAAGTTCCGCATTTGTTAATGTAAAGATAAACAAAATTAAATAACGTATTTATGGTTATCTCATGTCAAGTTAACGAACTGGTACTTGTAGATAGAATATATTTCTTATATCATATTAATGACACTTATATTAGTTATTTTTAACTATAGATACGGATTGGCTCAAGACCAAGAGTTTAATTAAACAACAAATATTTTGTCGTCGTTGAATAAATATTACTCTCTCGGATAAACTTGAGCTTAGTAATTTGACGAATGAGGAGATTTGGTGTAAAATTATTTTAGCAGCGGATTTCCATATCTTGTGTAAAAATTTAAATTTCCGAGAAATGTATTTTTTTTTATATAGATGCTCCATGAATATGAGAAACTAGCGTGTCGAACTTAAATATTAACATCTTACAATGTTTGTTTGTTATTAAGCACAAAGCTATACAACAGATTATTGGTACTGTGCTCACCACGAGTATCGAAACTCGGTTTTTAATTTCACTTACATACATTTTCTTTTCTCGCACAGATGACGAAGAATCATCAGCAGAGGGCGTTCTCACGCAGGAAGGTCTCTTTGAAGGTGTAATTTATTCACGCAGTGGAGATGAGTATCATGTCGAGCCAGCATCTCGTTACTTTCCATTACAGAGAGACTTTCATTCAGTCATGTACAGACTGTCCGACGTCCAGTTTCCTGTAAATAGCACGTGTCTTTCTCAACATCTCCACGATAAGTTTAAAACTTTCTTTTCGTTATCAACACATCCGTTTTCATCAAAGAATTTGTCATTATTGCTCTCGTCTTCGGACAGACTAAAGCCAAATGCTTTTCGACTGGGTAGAAATACGGCAATGAAGTCATGTTGTGGTAAGACCTATCACGCAAGGACAAAAACGTACTTAAAACATAACTTTTCTACAAACAAATATCCTTTTATTTATCTTAAAAGAAAGAACCCTTTTATTCATCCTTGGAGTGGTACAGAAGTAAAAAAAAATACCGGTGGTGACCAAAAAACGGCCTTAAATAGTTCAGCTTACGAAATCCTTAAAACGCTGCGGGTTCGTCGAAATATTGTCGATGACAACCCCATCTATTGGAGGGATATTGATGCACTGCACTACAAAACCAAGATTTTACAAAGTCAGTTTGAACCCCATGGTCTTCAGTCAGGTCAACGAGTCCAAACAACGGCCACAGATCCTGGTCAACCAGTAACCATTGATCTAAAAAAATCTACTTGTATGCTCTATCTTCAGGCTGATCATCTTTTCTACCAAAAGATGGGCAGTGAAGAGGCCTGCATCGAGGTTATGACGAGACATGTTCAACGAGTAAACAACATTTTTAGAACCACAGGTGAAATTATTTTGTTTTAGAACCACAAGTAAAATTTTTTGTTTTAGAACCACAGGTAATTTTTTTGTTTTAGAACCACAGGTAAAATTATTTTGTTTTAGAACCACAGGTAAAATTATTTTGTTTTAGAACCACAGGTAAAATTATTTTGTTTTAGAACCACAGGTAAAATTATTTTGTTTCATTATTTTCTTTTTTGAATGAATGATATATTTTGTAGTTAAAAACGTAAAAAATTGCTTTATAAATAACAGAGATAAAATTATATTATCGATTTATTTTTAAAATTTGTGAGTTATGTTCTTTGAAAAAGTGACAAAGCAGGGGGCGCTAGAGATTTTCTATTTGAAAGTTTTGATTTAATATTTGTTTGGTAATAATCAAATGTATGTAAATAGTTGTTTCAAACAGTAACACACACACACAAATACATGTAGATACACATAAGTAAAGTATACACGTGAATGCAGTTAGCACGTGCTGTTCACAGTCAATGTTCGAAACAATAATGTCAGTAACCAAACAATTCACTCATCAGAGAGATATCTGTAGTAACAATACTGTCAGTAACCAAACAATTCCCTCATCAGATAGATATCTGTAGTAACAATAATGTCAGTAACCAAACAATTCACTCATCAGAGAGATATCTGTAGTAACAATACTGTCAGTAACCAAACAATTCACTCATCAGAGAGATATCTGTAGTAACAATACTGTCAGTAACCAAACAATTCACTCATCAGAAAGATATCTGTAGTAAAAATAATGTCAGTAACCAAACAATTCACTCGTCATAGATATATCTGTAGTAACAATAATGTCAGTAACAAAACAATTCACTCATCAGATAGATATCTGTAGTAACAATAATGTCAGTAACAAAACAATTCCCTCATCAGATAGATATCTGTAGTAACAATAATGTCAGTAACCATATATTTTGCTCTTGTTGACATTTATCATTCGCTTAGTTGACTGTTTATAATTTTACCAATATTATGATTTCAAAATCTGGTTACAAATAAGAAAACACAATTAAGCTCATATTTCTCATTTTTAAGAACATCAACCAAATGCGTATGCTTTTTGAAGAGGTATGTAAAATTATAATAAACAAAGTATTGCTTGTAATACTGTTAAGCCTAAGATATAGTATTCTTTAACAAAAGTGCACGGTTTTATATTACATTAAGCCTAAGGCTTAGCATTACGTTAAACATTACTGTTTAGTGTTCTTTAGGAAGACATTACAGAGTTTGGTATTACATTAAACCCAAGGTTTAATACTTTAAGACAACAGTACAAAGTTTGATATCACTTTATACCCCAGTTCTGATGTTCTTAAAACAAGAAAAAACAATGAAGAATTTGGTATTACCTTAAACCTAAAATTTAGTGTTTTTTTATAAGAAAACATTGAAGGGTTTCGTATTACGTTAAAACCTAGAGTTTAATATTATTTAGATAACTTAGCAGGGTTTGGTATTACGTTAAGCCTACGGCTTAGTATTATTTAAAAAAACAGTACGGATTTGATATTATGTTAAGCCTGAAGTTTAGTATTATTTACTAAAATATTACGGGTTTTGTATTATGTTAAGCCTGAACTTTAATATTCTTTAAGAAAACACTTCGGAATTTGACGTTAAGTAAACCCAAGATTTGATATCCATTAAAAATATTGCAGGGTTTGGTATACACATTAAACCAATATTCAGTATTGGTAAAAAAAGGGGGGTATGGTATTGTTGTATGCTGCATTATTAATATTTCAATTTAGATGTTTCATTCACTAGGGGGGGGGCTTGAGATGACGTAATAATTGCATGGGTTCTGAAAATCGAGGTACTGGCGGGTTTCCAACTTTCGTTAAGTAATGTACAATATAAAAATACCAGATACAGTAAGTGAATTAGTTAGTCTGCTCTTTAACAGTTCAGTTAGTCTATTCATGGGCGATTCAGTCATCGAGTTAGTTATTTAGTTATTCAGTGATCAGAAAATTAGTTAGTGAGTCAGTCAGCGTGTTTGTTATCAATGGATTAGCTAGCAGATTTTGAAAGTAAGTGACTTGAGCTTTATCTCTTTGTTAGGATAAGCATTATTTTTAGAATGTCTGCTGAAACATTGTTTGTAAAGTAAGGTTTACTAGTGAACGTAATCTGTAACTTGTATAGAAAATTACTGGAAAAATATATTAATTCCTTGGTGATAAGTGGACTGGACTTCACATTATCGTAATGGAATAATCCAAGCCAACATGCACAATGACTGATCACAATACAGTATTGGTGTCAGGAATTGGATTATTTTGCTGAAAATAAAATAGAAATTTGACTAAACGTCAATACGACAACCAAAACATAAAGCGATATCAAACATTTGTTGCAGATGATGAAACAATCGGAAGAAAAACAAGCAGAAAGACACAGAACCTTAAAGAAGATAAAAAAAAAGAAAGAGAAAGAAAATTAAAAGAAGATCAAAAGTAAAAGACAGGAATTTTAGAGAGAGTTAAAAGATAGAAATGTAATACTTAAAGAAGATTTAAGAACAAAAATAAATCTGATTGAAGAAAAAATCGATAAGGCTTTTGGAGATGTACAGAGGGATTGCAAGAACAAAAGACGTATTAAAAGACATTAACAAAGTACAGAAAGTCTGAAATGTCAAAAGAAAAGAAATACAACAAGAGAACATTGAGGTACAAAAGAACACCAGTAACAGAGGAATATATATATATTTGGAAAATTAATTAGTAAATGCAAAGATCAAACCAAAGACACCTTTTCCTACATTTACCCAGAATTCCAATCTAAAACACCATTTATTATAAATATGAAGTAGGAGAAACTATATGGTCTACATTTATGCCACTATTGCTGCGCCTTCTATAACTTCACGACTTTCCTGGATTACTCCAGCTATGTTACAATCAAATCCAATTCCAGAATTTAGTTGGCCAGTTCAGCAATCGAGAAACTAACATAATATGATGGAAAGGTACCACGAGAGGCATCTTAGGCTCAGTTTAAAATAATTTCCAAAGTGAATGGGCAGAATAGTGAGAAAAAGATATATGCTTTGCTACCCCTTTAAAAAGACCATGTTTAACGACAGTAAATAACCTTCCAGCTGAGGGCTGCAACAACTATTAAGCATTATTAACTGCTTTATCTAGGGCCAAGTTATTGAACAAGGTATGGGAGAAACGTGTGGAAGCTTTTCTTAATTGTTTTACCTAGAAGCTTCTCATGAAATGATAGGTTTTTTTGGCACGTGACCAATTCATAGATGGCATAACAGACGAAACTATGCAGTTGGCGATGGTGCTTGAATCCATTAAAATTACTGGATCATCAGATCGAGTCTACATCAACTCTCCTCTGACGATAGTCTAAAATAGCTGAAAAGATATATTTCATAGAATGGAGGAAAAAAACCACAAGACAATAGATGTAACTTGAAAAGACATGCTGATAAGAACGGCAAGCAAAAGCCTGTATGTAATAAAAAATCCTCAAAGGATATCATAAAAAGGGATCTGTTGTAAATGTGGGAAACATGGCCATTAGAGATAAGATTGTAAGGAATCAATAACTGTTAATAAACTAAGAAGACAATACCCAAGGAATGAGTCTCAAGCCCAACAGGTCAAAAGAACAACAAAGTGCTAACCTGACGTTTGAAAACTGGAATTAATTGGACTTAAATGCAAATTTCATTTGAGAAAATTTTACTTGTCCCAGTGAAAATAGTGAATGCGTGGTTTAAAACAACAGTTCACGAGTCGTTGGATTCATTAACGGAAAACTTTGTAGTATTTTGATTGACACTGTTCAACCAGATTTGTTGATGAAAGGTGAGGAATTGTCTCTAGACTTGAAGCAGGAAAGATGAATTAATGAGGTTACAAGTATTCAAGAGGTTCCAACGAGAGAAGTTGGAGGTTATCTTCATTGTGGGAAGCTCCTCTACTCCACATGATGTGTTGGTAATTGACATAGAGGAAGAGTATTAATTGGGAATTGACTTCATACAGAAGCATGTATGTGATGTCAGAATAGCTTGAAATAGTTTCACAGTCTAGGATCAGGAAATCCCCATTCACTGTATGAAAATTACATCACCAGAGCTTACACTTCCAGTGACAACAGGGCAGATGTAGATAGTAATGAATAAAGCTGACCTGGAGTGCAACAGATCAGAATTCAGAACTCTGGGCATTCCAAACCAAAGGTCCAAATGTTGTCAGTTGTGATCATCTTTTGAAGGACGTCAATGAGAGGGCAGCCAATTATTTAGTTTCAG